TCCATTGGTACGAGAATTGCAACAAGACGAAGATCACTGTAATAAATACTTTACGTACGTTTTCAGTATTCGTAGAATTCACGAAACATGTACAGTACTTTATGAATGAAGACCAACAAGTATTTCACTACAATTATATTTGTCTTTCTCTGTTGATTGCGTAATAATAGAAAAGATGTAAAAGATTATGTGGAAGAGCAGAATCCACTGATAGAAGAATAAAAGTATCCCGTAGAAGAAGGAACAAAAATATTTAATAAGTATTTCATCAAATTATATTCAATATAATTTCAACATATTAACTTTCAATATCTCGTGGATTCGAACGGATCCAGTATTCGAATTGCGAATTTAATGGATACGGATGGATCCATGTGCGAGGATTAAACGGTAACTCCTGGAAGATGACGAAAATTCTCACTTTTGTAGTACAGTTAGGAGGACGTCGATTCTCACCGGAAGTGCCAATGAGGCGCGACGAACGAAGAAACGAGGACGTGGATGCAGCCGAAACGATCGAACTGGCAATCGGACAGCCACGTACACCCTCGTCACCGTAGATCCATACGCAATATAGCACCATATCAACAACAACGTTCGCACTACGTCAACGGAAGCGTATAAAATCTGAAATATTGGTAACGCAGCATCTGCTCGAAACGGTACAAGTAATAATAAGATCGTCGAGTATAGTCGTACGGCATACGTCGTTCATCGTCGAGAAACCTTAAGGAACTATTTTGGCACTAGAATCCACGTGACGTTAATCTTAAGCCTCTGTTCGACTTTCTCGAGTCGCGGTTATAACGTGAGTGTGGTTTCATGTTTTTTTACTTTTTTTTTTATTTTTTTATTTTTTTTTTTATTTTATGGATACAGCTATACCTAGGATCGATTTACTGGTTCTGATTAATTTCCAAGTGAAATCTTAAATCGAGCTGCTTCTGGTGTACGTGATCTACTAAAACGAGCGTTGTCTTCGAGATTCGAAATGATCCTCAGCGTCCAGAAATTCCCCGTCAACGTTTTTTTTATTGTGGTTTAACGTTGCATTGCAAAGTTTGTCAAAAGGAATCCTACAGTATTGTAAAATTCAAAGAAATTGAATTGTATTTGTTGCTTGGTCCTTGGTAGATTAGTTTCAAGTAGTACTTTCCATTTTTACGTCCATTTATATCAATAACCTAGATAATCTGACTTACCGATCATCTGAATCTGTTTCGAAGCTAATAAAAAAAAATTTAATTTACAATACTTCTACAAGTAGCTAACAACGAAGACTCTCGCAAATTATTTCGAAGCAAAGGTAAATCAATCGCACTCCTAGAATTTCAACGACAAGGTGGAACGAAAAACGAAACGAAGTTAAAAATACCAATAGAGAATTCGCATAGACAGGTTACTCGATCGAAAATCGTGGACGACGCTCGAAGCCTTAAACTCTATCATTCTGGACACTTAATAACGTTCCATTTACGATGCTTAATTATCTGCTATTCTTCGTACTTATGTTCACGGACAATAGAAAATTCTTAGCAAATGTGGTTCGTTTGTAAAACTGGTTTTAGCCGAACGGAACCCGGTCGCTATGATTCTTGGAATCATTTACAAAATTCGTCGATACGTATCCCGTCTCACGATACGGTCCTCCTCTTCTCACGTGCGAGCGTTCGAATATCATTCGAATTCGCTCGAAGATCCTCTCCAATGTCGGATCGGCAAGCAAACTTTCAGAATTTCTCTCTTCGTCTCTGGAAATCGCGCGGCGATGTTCCAAAGGGGAGACGGCCGTGCGTGGTCGGACAAGGAAACAGGAGGAACTAACGCGCATTTGCTAAATCACTGCCACCCAGGACGGTTTTCTGACAATTACCCAGCAAATAAAAGTACCGAAACTGGGACTCTCGAGGTATTCTACAAACACTCGGATGTCCACAGAATTTAGAATATTACAATGACATTTTCAATACTGAAATATTCGAGACATCTAATCATCTAAATTATTCGAGATTTCTACACGCCGATATATTCAAATATATCCTAGAAATTTGGAATATTTTGTCGGAATATCCCAAATCGAAATACTCGAATAAGTATGCGAACATTCGAACATCCGAATTATTCGAATGTCTCAAGTGCGTTCGGCTGCACAGTCCTGCAATTTCCATGCAAACTCTCTAAACACGATTACCCCCTTTCCAACACTCTACACGCTTTGCCCCCTCTCATCCCATGCTACAAAAGAACCCCTCTTGGAAAGACAAACCCAACGACCAGCACCGCGCGTTTCGCGACCGCGTAACGCGACGAGTCGACGATCGTTTGGAGTGCGCGTCGCGGGCAACTGCGGTGCTCTATTCCCCGATGCGGTTGCGGTCGTTGCGCACACAGAGCCACGGACGCGGAATCCGCAACGGCGCGTCGAGTTCGTTAGTCGACGATTGTTCTCCGCGGTTCGTAGATCCTCGCTTTGGTAAATTTAACGGGCGCAGGTTTCGTGGAGCGCGAGAGCACGAACGTCGATGGAACAGGGACGAATGATCGAAGGAGGGAAACGTGCAAGGGAGACAGAGTGAGAGAGAGGGGGGAGGGCTGGGAGAGAAAGAGAGAGAGGAACATCGGGTGGGCGATGAGTTAAGGGAGAAACTGGCAAAGAGTCATTAGGATACATTGTCAATTCCAAGCGTCTCTGCCGGCAGCAACCTATGAAACACCGTTTCCCCTGGATACGACCAATTTGCTCTGGTCACTTTATCAACTTCCACCAGTGTCTCCACTCGCATCGATCCATCGCCGTGATTTTCTCCCTCGATGATTTTGTCGTAGGCAAACACTCGCGCGTCGCGTCTTTTTATCGCTCTTTCTCTGGTCGATCCTCTGCTTTTTTTTTCTTTTTTTCTTTTTTTCTTTTTTTTTT